TGGAAACAGCCCAGTCCATCATAGGTGAATGGATAAACAATATGGTATATACATACAATTTTTTTTTTTTAAAGATTTTATTTTTTTCAGAGACGCCTGGGTGGCTCAGTGGTTGAGTGTCGGCCTTTGGCCCAGGGAGTGATCCTGGAGTCCTAGGATCGAGTCCCACGTCGGGCTTCCCCTATGGAGCCTGCTTCTCCCTCTGCTTGTGTCTCTGCCTCTCTCTCTCTGTCTCTCATGAATAAATAAATAAAATCTTGAAAAAATAAAATCTTTTATTTATTTATTTATTTGTTTGTTTATTTATTTATTTATTTATTTATTTATGAGAGACAGAGAAAGGCAGAGACATAGGCAGAGGGAGAAGCAGGCTCCCTGTGGAGAGTCTGATGGCAGGACTCCATCCCAGGACTCCAAGATCACAACCTGAGCCAAAGGCAGATGCTCGACCACTGAGTCACCCAGGTGCCCATCTTACTCAGGTTTTAAAAATAATAAAATTCTGTCTGAGATACTCTAGGACATGGATGAACCTTTGAAGACCTTAACTGACTGAAATAAACTATTCTCAGAAGGACAAATACTATTCAACTTATGTGAGGTACCTAGCATAGTCAAGTTCATAAAAATAGAAAATAGAATGGTGGTTGCCAGGGGCTGGAGGGAGAGGGAAATGGGAGTAACTGCTTAATGCATTCAGTTTTCCATTCTTGAGATGGAGGGTAGTGATGTTTGCACAACGTAAATGTACTTAATGCCACTGAACTGTGCACTCAAAAATGGTTAGAATGATATATTTTAGGGCACCTGGGTGGCTCAGGTCATGATCCTGCGATCCCAGGATTGAGTCCCATTCAGGCTCCTCGCAGGGAGCCTGCTTCTCCCTCTGCCTATGTCTCCGTCTCTTTCTGCATCTCTCATGAATAAATAAATATTTTTAAAAATGATACATTTTACATTATGTGTATCTTATCACAATAAAACACCTCTGGAACAACCAGTTTGGAGAACAATTTGGCCAATATCCGCTAAAATTGAAGATGTGAATACCTTATGACCACCCCCCTTCCCAACAACAGAAGAAAGGATTTCATAAACGGTCAAAAATGTATATAATGGGACACCATATGATTGTGGAGGAAAAGATGTTTCAAATTAATCTAGCTAGCAAGGATTCATCTAAAACTTAATGTTGACTTTAAAACAAGTAGTAGAAAGATACTGGTGTATACATATATATTTTTAAAGATTTTATTTATTTATTCATGAGACAGAGAGAGGGAGAGAGGCAGAGACACAGGAGAGGGAGAAGCAGGCTCCATGCAGGGAGCCTGACGTGGGACTGGATCCCTGGGCTCCAGGCTCCTAGGCTGAAGGCGGCACTAAACCGCTAAGCTACTGGGGCTGCCCTATAAATATTTTTATTCATGGATATATACATATAAGGTAAAATAAGAGGATAGAAGCTACTCTGGAGAGGCGAATAAAGAAATGAGATCAAGGAGAAAGGATATATAGGGGTTTCGATTGTGTGGGGGGGTGGGGTTAAGATTTTATTTATTAGAGAAAGAGTAAGAGTATAGAGGGAGAGGGAGTAACAGATTTCCTCCCGAGCAAAGAGCCCAACAATGGGCTCGATCCCAGGACCCTGGGATCATGACCTGAGCTGAAGGCAGATGCCTAACCAACTGAGCCACCCAGGCATCCCATGTCTGTGAAATCTATTTCCTAAACTGGTCATTATGAATGTTTGTTATATTCTTGTTCTCTCTCGTTCTCTCCCCCTTCTCTGTTTGTGTGTGCCTGAAATAGTTTATTAAACTGCACATGGTAGCAAAAAAAAATAAGGGGGGGAAAAAATCACAATTCAAAACCCAAAGAGCCAAAATTCAAATCAAAATAACCAACCTCTTTTCACCCTCCACCTTTATAACATAAAAATATTAAGCTTAAAAATAATTTTAAAAATACTGCTCTATGTCTTTAGATCTTCTCTTGCCAAAGGAGTGGTTGTGTCTTTTTTTTTTTTTTGGAGCGGTTGTGTCTTAAGATTATTTTTTTTCTTTGATGACTGGTACTTAGGTAATGCTGTGCACTTAGATATTAGTAGATGATGGTGAGGTCAGACTCTGCATCCTGAGAGGAGCATGTCTGCTTCACCTGTTGCCTTGGGAAATAATTCCTCCTCTGTCCACACATAGCTGCATAGCATATGCTATAGATACCTTGTCATCGGGTCAACACATTTTTTCCCAGCTCTTCCAACTGAAAACATGTATGAATAATTCTAACTTGTGTTGGGGCAGCCCGGTGGCTCAGCGGTTTAGCTCCGCCTTCAGTCCAGGGCCTGATCCTGGAGACCCGGGATCAATTCCCACATCAGGCTCCCTGCATGGAGCCTGCTTCTCCCTCTGCCTGTGTCTCTGCCTCTCTCTCTCTCTCTCTCTCTCTCTCTCTGACTATCATAAATAAATTTAAAAAAAATTAAAAGAAAAAAAAAATCTAACTTGTGTTGAAGAGAAAGAATTCTAATCTCAAAGCTAGAAGATTTTAAGGTTCAACTATGTGAAGGCTACTTTTTTTTTTTTTTTTTTAAGTATGCTTTCCAAATGTTTGCTGATGTTGTGTAACAGGAGATTCATTTCTCAGGTGGTAACAATGCTCCCATTGAGAGAGCAGCCCTGACACATGCATATATTGTTCCTGGTTTGCCAGAATAAAATCTTAGTTAACCCACAAATATTACAGGCAGACGTAGGTGTGTAAAGAAACCCAAATATCCGTCAGCCAAAATGTGCAAGTCCACCCACATGTTAACATTAACAGGCTTGACACTAATGTCAAGGATTTTCTAATGTTCCTCTCCTCCTTTCAACCACTTTCAAGAGTGATGAGAAGTTTTTAGAGCAGCAGAAAACAAGATGTTTGTATGGTTTGCCCTGTTTGGCAAAGGAAACTGTCTTTGACACGAATAGGTCTGTGGCAGAAAACAGGTTTGAGAAGAATAATAAAAGAACCAGGCAAGGTGTACCTGAGCGGCTCCATCGGTTAAGTGTCAGACTCTTTGATTTCGGCTCAGGTCATGAGATTGAACTCCTAACCTTATTCTCTCCTGTGGGGACTGAGAAACTTCTGGATAATATCTTAAGCCTCATGGATGAGAATTTCCTGGAAATACAGCAACTATTTCCAGTTTGGTAGGTCCATTCTTTTCCTGGAGAGAACAAAAAAACACTGACCTGGTACCCTGACCATAACTTGACTTTTTTTTTTTTTTAAGATTTTATTTATTCATGAGAGACCCAGAGAGGAAGGGGGGGGGGCAGAGACACAGGCAGAGGGAGAAGCAGGCTCCATGCAGGGAGCCCGATGTGGGACTGGATCCTAGGACTCTAGAATCATGCCCCCGATGGAAGGCAGGCGCTAAACTGCTGAGTCACCCAGGAGTTCCCATCACTTGACTTTGACAATCCCCTTCCTCCTTACCTTGGACTTTCCTCCTCAAGGCCCCATTTTTGGGACCAAAGTATAACGAATTCAAAAGAAACTATGGAGTGCTCCTTTTGAACTCAATAAAACCTTTTGCTTACAGGTAATATTAAATACTTCTAACTTTTCTACAAGTGTGTGCCTTTTGTCAAAAGGGGCTGCAAGGAGAGTGAGAACAGGGTCAGTGGAGCCCAGCATAATGCATGGGTGGAGAACTCAGACCTTATGTTCTACGGATGTTCCAGCAGAAGCATCATCTTCATACACAAAGCTCATCAGTCAGCCCATAAACATTTACTGAATGCCTCAACTGTGTTCAGTACTCAGTTATGCGTGAGGTCAATGTGGTATGATGCCAGCCTCGTGAACGCTAGACAGAGCCAGGAGACCTGCCAATCACTGGATTTTGGGGGTAAAAAAGAAATCAAATTTTCTCCTCCCAGGACCTCAGTTTCTTGATGTGTAAAGTTAGGAGACGGTAGTGGTTAACCTCGGCCCTTAGGTCACAGATTCCCAAAGAGAGGATAATGAGCTCATAGTCTCCTAGATCTTGAGAGTCTTCTCCGTAGCTGGGGAGACTGAATGTTTGCACCCCAAATTGTGTTTCTGAAAGAGCGTAGCTTGGCTCACCTGGATGCTTAGGTGTCTTCCTCAGGGTTGGTGCAAAGGGGTCCCATGCATGGGTCTCTGTTCATGATGCTCTGGCCTTACTGGTTTTCTGCGGATTCCTTGAGTGTACTCTTGGCCTCTGCACATGCTTGTCTCTCCGCATTGGGCTTCCCACGGGAGTGGTGGCTGGTTTCTTCCTTCTGGTCCTTTAGATTTCCTTAGCTCTCCACTTCTCTGAGTGGGTCATTCTCTCTAAGGTTCTTCTCTGTCCTCTTATTTCAGCATCCATTTCATTCTTTGCACTCCCACAGTTTGTAGCTTTTGCTTACTTGTTTGCTTCCTCTGTCCATCTGTTGGCTCCATCAGGCAGGGGCGCTTCTGGTTTTGTTCGGAACCGTACGCCCAAAGCTTAGTCCACATAGTAGGTCTCAGCGTCTGTTCAACGAACGACTTTATGGCTCCACCGTTCCGAGGAACCGAAGGCATCTAAAGCTGCTTCCCCATAAAATACCCATTTTGGAATTCCCCGCGGCCAGGCTGGGCTTCCGCTGCGGTAACTTCTTTCCCATTGCCTGCTTTCTTAGGATCTAGACCTATCTTTTCCTTGACGATAAACGCTTTCGTGTCATCACAACGTCTTCTGTGCCGCAGTGACGTCACTACTGCCTCTCGCGGCGTCACAAATCCATCCGCAGCAACTTTGCTTCCCCAAGAAGCCCCCGACCTTCCCGCGGCCAACCCCACTTCGCGACTCGCCCCACGCCCAGCCTGCTGCGTTACGCCCGCCCGCCCGCCCGCCCGCGCGGTGATGACGTCATGCCCCAGAGCTGGCGTCACGTCCCCCCCCGCCGGGGGCGGGCCGTGAGGGCGGTGCTTCCGGTTGGCGGAGCCTGGCGGCCGGGGCGGCGGCGGCGGCGGCGGCTGCGGCTGCGGCGGGGACGCGGGGATGGCGGGCGCCGGGAGCGAAGCCCGGTTTGCCGGGCTGTCGCTGATGCAGCTGAACGAGCTGCTGGAGGACGAGGGGCAGCTGACGGAGATGGTGCAGAAGATGGAGGAGGTGAGCCGGGCGGCGGCGGCGGCGGCGGCGGCGGGGGGGCCTCGCGGAGCGGCGTGCGGGCCGGGGCCGGGGCCGGCGGCGGCGGGCTGGAGGTGGCCCGAGGTGGGGCGGCCGCCGTGCCTCGAGTTGGGCTGAGGGCTCGAGCCGAGGGGACGGGGCTCGGGGGCTGAGCGCGTTCGAAGCGAGGCTTTGAGGCTCCGGGGCCGGGGATGAAGCCGGGCACGGGTACTTGGGGACCCAGGGGGCTGTGGCTGAGTCTGGTGGGACGAGGAGGGAATTAGGGGGACGGGACTGGCTTGGAGGAGGACAGGGAGTGACCAGAAGGAGGGGGCCGAGGGCTGGGTCTGGACAGAGGATGGGGGCTTGAGAAGAGGGTTGAGAGGCACAGGCGTACCGAGGCGGTCATGGGGTCTGCGAGTAGCTTTTCAGGGGCCAAGGGGACTAGCTGGATAGGAGTCTTAGGATTGCCCTTTCCAGGACGGGCTTGTGGGCCCGAGGCTCTGAAGCCGCGTGGGGCCGATAGTTCTGAGCTGGATTTAGGATTGGGCAGGGTCTCGGGTTGGGAGGCACGAGGCCGCAGATTCGAGGGGTCTGTGTATCTGAACGTTCCAGGGAGACTTGGAGGGGCCCCATGGAGCCATTTGGACGTGGCTCTGGAAGAGCCATCCTAGGGGGGTTTTCTCCTTGGTTTCGTGGGTGGGAGCAGGAATCCTTTTCTCCATAAAGTTGCCCCCTTCTGTGAAAGAAGGGAATGTGGGAATCTAGTGTGGTGGCTTTGCCCCACAATGTCCTACCCCGTTGGGGCCAGAGGAAGTTCCTGGAGCTGGGTTTTTTTTTTTTTTTTTTTTTTTTTTTTGAGAAGATAAAAGGGGTTAGGGACCTGACAGCACACCCCCCCACCCCCCACCCCACCCCCGGTAGTCAAGGTCCTGCCCAGCCTCTGGAAGGCATATGGCCACCCTGTTTCTGGTTATCTAACTGCATCTCTTGTGGCATGATTTGCTCTCCTGGGTAACCGACTTCACGCTTGGATTTGCACTGTTTACGTCTCTCCTTTTCCCAGGCTTTTTGGACTCTTTCCCTGAATGTCCCATCCTACAGGTCTGCGTCTCCTCCAGGCAGGTGGACCCAAGCTGATCCCAGCTCTCCCTAGCCCATTTACCACTCCTACTTCTTTGTCTCCAAGTCTGAGCCTTCCCACGCCTACAGGGCTGAGCCTCTCACCCTGAAGCCAGAGTGGGGGCTTTTGGCTTTCTTTCCGAAGAGGGATTGTTCAGCACTGAGCCAGCTTCCTTAAAAGGGGGCTTGTATGGAGGTTGCACATTCAAAATCACTGGAAAACCCTCAACAGATTATTGTCCTGAGCTACAGAGAGGCCACTGTAGTAAGATGGTATCAGTCTCTCCATTAATACACCCCTTGTATTCACGAGCTTTGTAACTTGGCACATAGAAAGAACGTTGCTCCGAGATGCAGTTTCCCTCATTTATGGTCTCCGTGTGGCACTTGCCATTTTAGAGAATAATAAGTGACAAAATCTGTCTTTCTTGACTGAAGGAGTTTCACGTCTCTAAAGAAATAAAATCTTTGCTTCGTTTCTCTGCTTTTCAGTTGCAGGGAGACCTTTTGTTGTATGTCAGCAGGCATCTTTCTAGTTTAATAATAAAATGACAGGTATATTTTTCTAGTGTGTAATACCAGGTTATTTTGCTCTGTGACTATTCTGTTTCACTAAGAACAGAATACTATATTGGTGTAGTTATATTGATTGTGTTCTACCTTAATAGAGATAAGCCGCCTTTTAGTGGAGTGGAAAGAGTCAAGTAATTCTCCCGATTCCAAGGCTGTTGGGGACAGCATCACTTGTTTCCTCTGCCCAAGAAAGGGAAGATTATTACATAAAGGGAAATGCAGTTAACCTAGCAGAACTTTTTTGATTGCCTTTTTTAGTAAAGGTGACCTTCCTGGGGATCCCTGGGTGGCTCAGTGGTTTAGCGCCTGCCTTTGGCCCAGGGCGCGATCCTGGAGTCCCGGGATCAAGTCCCTCATCGGGCTCCCGGTATGGAGCCTGCTTCTCCCTCTGCCTGTGTCTCTGCCTCTCTCTCTCTCTCTCTCTCTCTCTCTCTCTGTCCATCATGAATAAATAAATACAATATTAAAAAAAAAATGACCTTCCTACCAGAATATCCTATATATAGACTGAGGACTGACCCACTGCATTTGATTTGACCACGTAATTCAAGTTAACTTAGTCAACAGCAGTTTGTTCTTCAGGGTGTAGCACTTTTAAAACAAGGAAACGATCAAGAAAACCAAAATACTTTAGCCAAGTAGCTCATCTAGCTACAGTCACTTAGCAAATCCTGTTCCCCTTTTCACATGTGGCATGTTTCTGTAGGAACAAGAATAACATGAATAACTAAAATTTTGGCCATGGTACTTTGAGCTCTTAACATTATGCATTGGTTTATTTCCTGGTGGTTATGAGACACAGGAAAAAAAAATACTCTGTGAACTTTCCTCTCTTGAAAAAAGGGAACTTAGAGACTTTGGAATCATCTATTCCAGGTTGGACTTGGCTATTTCCCATGCCAGTTAATCCACTTCTCTGAGCATCTGTTGGAGAAGGCTAATATAATATTTCATGGATTATGTGAGATAGTGCATCTTAGCACTGCATGTAGTTAGTGCTCAATAAAGAGTAAATGCAGGGTTTTTTTTTAAGATTTTATTTATTTATTCATGAGATACACAGATAAAGGGGGGAAGGGGCAGAGACACAGGCAGAGGGAGAAGCAGGCTCCACACAGGGAGCCCAATGTGGGACTCGATCCCGGGACCCCAGGACCATGCCCTGGGCCAAAGGCAGGCGCCAAACCGCTGAGCCACCCAGGGATCGTCAGTAATTGCAGTTATTAATAATCATCTGGTTCGTTCTTTTTTAGAAGGGTTATTGACAGCCACTAATAGCACATCGTCCCAACAAGTTAATGGGGTCTTATTTCAAGAATGTTAGGTAAATTTTTATTTGCCATTAGCTTAAGAAACATTTTACTTTTCTATGGTCAAAATGATTATGTATCTCGGAAGGTCTAAGATGATACCATAAATGAAACAGGCCTTTTCGGGCATTGAATCTCTTAAACTGAACCAAAGGCTTTTTTTTTTTTTTCCCCTTTAATTGGCAGAAGGAAGTGTTTTAAATTGTAGAGTAAGACTTCTTTAAGCCTGAGGGGATATTTTGTGGCGACTGGAAAGCGTGGCTAGGTTTTGAAGGATTCACTGTTAGGTTTGAATATAGCTGTGCACTATACTTCACTTACATTGTTTTAATTGCGGTGTGTGAGCCTTAGTGCAGCTCAAGATTTTCGTGTAGGGGCTATAGATGGTCCCATTTTCAGTGCCTATGTGTTTATTTTTTCCTGTTCCTCCTGTCCATTATGCAGTTCCCTAAATGTACCATCCCTAGTGATCTTTGCTCTTTCCTTTCCTGTGGGCTGATGTTTGATATGCACACATTGTATTTTTATTTAAAGTTATTTTTACATGGCAATGGAATGTGCCCTTCTCTCTGTCCACATTAACCCCATTGGATTTATGGGACACTCCCTTAAAAGGAACTGTCGCTTAGGGGATAAGGCAGCTAAACCCCACCTCTTGGGTCATGTCTCCCAATGTGCTTTCTGAGGGGATGTGGTTTGGTTAGTGTTAACTAATAATTCCACCTAACTGAGGATTCAGATTCAGGGTCTGTGTTTCTTTGGCAAATGAAATCGCCCACATGCAAAAACGCTGAGGGTCTGAAAAAAGATTGTTTTGTGCAGAGTCTGGTCTGGAAGAAGCTGTTTCCCTAAGGCGTGTTCTGGTGTGATTTGTGTGGGGCTGCAAAGCTACTGCATGAATCATAATGGCTCATTGAAATGTACTGACCTTGCTTTAAACCCAGGGACTGTTTCCTCAACACGGCGCTGAGCACTGGTGGGACTGGTTTTTGGAAGTTAAGATTTAAACTCTTGGAGTGTCTGCTACTGGAGTTTGTTTCTGTTCACGTTGTGCAGTCATTGTGTATACAAAGGCTTCAACTTTTATGTTTGAATCTTCTCTTCTATGGACTTATTATAATAACTCAAGTAAAAAATTACTGTGACAGAATATTTTCTGAAATTAATTTTTTTTAAAGGAGGCGTTAAGGTTTGTGGAGGGGCGCCTGCGTGGCTCAGTTGGTTAATTATCTGCCTTCTGCTCAGATCAATGATCCCGGGGTCCTGGGATCAAGCCAGAGTCAGGCTCCCTGCTCCGAGGGAAGTCTGCTTCCCCTCTGAACCGCCCTCCCCCCAGCCTTGTGTGTGCGCGTACGCTCTCTCTCAAATAAAATCTTAAGAAAAAAGAAAAAGATTTTGTGGAAAGGGGTGCCTGGCTGGCTCAGTTGGCAGAGCATGCAACTCTTGATCTCCGGGTCGTGAGTTCAAACCACATGTTGGGTGTAAAGCTTAAAAAAAAAACAAAGATTTTGTGGAAAGAGCATAGCTAAGAGTTGTGGGACCTTATTTCAGCTAAACTCTCTGTGTTTCGGTTCCTCCACTGTAAAGTGAGGGTAGTAACCATGCAGGTTTTATGAGGCCCAATGTAATAGCAGGTGAAGGCAGTACTTGGCACAGAGGGGGCTTCCCCCTTGCGAGATTTTCAGAATTGTTTGGCTGGCTCTGGTGAAATCTGGTCACTTATGTAATTGCTCTCTACTTTTGCATAGATTAGAAGTGCAGTGGGTGTGGTATAGCATAGAACTGACTTTTGATACTGCCATGCGACCTTTGGCAAGTATTGTCTTTCCAAGTGGAGCTTCCTCATTGAAAATGAAGGGGATGACAACAGTAACCTACTTCATTGGGTTGGTTGGGTAGATTAAATGTGTCTGTCATGAATACATAAATAAAATCTTTTTTTAAAAAAAAGGATGGAAACATGAATAGGGCATAATCCCCATGTTATAATTTGGGGAA